GAGGCTAAGAGGTTGACACCCCGTCAGGCCAGGTGGGCTCTGTTTTTGTCACGTTTTAACTATGTGGTCTCTTACTTGCCTGGTTCCAAGAATGTCAGGGCTAATGCCTTGTCGCGGCAATACTCTGAGCTGTCCAGGGAGAACACTGAGCCGACCTCGGTCATTCCTCCAAACCAGATCCTGGCTGCCATTCGTACCAACCTGACTTCTCCCCTTGGGGAGCAGATTTTGGCGGCTCAAACTAACGCTCCTCCTGAGAGACCGGCTGGAAGATGTTTTGTACCTGAGGGATTGCGTACCCGCTTGCTGCGTACCTACCATAATTCCAAGACTGCCGGTCATCCTGGTAGGAACCAATTGTCCTGGGTCGTTTCTCGGTTATTCTGGTGGCCATCTCTCCGTTCTGACATTGCCTCATATGTAGCAGCTTGTTCGGTCTGTGCCCAGAATAAATCTCCTCGGCACCTTCCATTGGGCCTTCTGCAACCCATTCCCAATGGGGAGCGTCCCTGGTCACACCTGGGAATGGATTTTATTGTGGATCTTCCTGCGTCTCAAGGTCATACGGTCATTCTTATGGTGATCGATCGTTTTTCTAAGATGTGCCATTGCGTTCCGTTCAAGAAATTGCCGACTGCACAAGAACTGGCTACGGTTTTCGCCAAGGAGATCTTTCGCTTGCATGGGTTGCCCAAGATGATTGTCTCGGACCGTGGGAGCCAGTTTGTGTCCAGGTTCTGGCGCGCCTTCTGCTCCCAGTTGGGTATCGAGCTTTCCTTCTCTTCGGCCTACCACCCTCAGTCCAATGGGGCTGCGGAGCGTTCCAACCAGGCCCTGGAACAATTCCTTCGTTGCTATATATCGGATCATCAGGACAACTGGGTCGATCTCCTGCCATGGGCAGAGTTTGCGAGGAACTCGGCTGTCAACTCCTCCTCTGGGATGTCCCCCTTCATGGCCAACTATGGGTTCCAACCCGCTGTATTGCCTGAGTTGTTCTCTCCACAGGACATTCCGGCTGTGGATAACCACCTGGCTGCTCTGCGCTCCTCATGGGGGCAGATTCAGAGGTCCTTGAAGGACTCAGCACAGCGCCAGAAGCTCCAGGCTGATCGCAGACGGTTGCCCGCTCCCTCATACCAGGTCGGAGATTGGGTGTGGTTGTCCACTCGCAACCTCAAGCTTCGGGTGCCCGCACCAAAGCTGGCCCCCCGTTTTGTTGGTCCTTTCCGCATTCTTCGCAGGGTGAACCCGGTTGCCTATGCCCTTGCTCTTCCTCCTGGGATGCACATCTCCAATGTCTTCCACGTATCCCTGTTGAAACCTCTGATCTGTAATCACTTTACTCGGCCTCGTCCTATCAGGGTCGACGGCCATGAGGAGTATGAGGTGAGTCGCATCTTGGATTCTCGGTTGGTCCGCGGTCGGGTACAGTTTTTGGTCCATTGGCGTGGTTATGGTCCCGAGGAACGTTCCTGGATTCCTTCCGCGGTTGTTCATGCTCCTGCCCTCCTCCGCGCCTTTCACGCCCGATTTCCTCAGAAACCTTTTGTTGAGCCACGGAGGGGGAGGAGCCCTTGAGGAGCAGGTACTGTCAAGGTCCTACCTTTCTTCAGAGCTTGTGCATCTCCATGAGCTGGCATCCATCTTGGTTTTCTGCAAAGCATGGTGGGAACCTTTATGCCTTCAGGCTTCTGCGGCTCCTCCTCAGAAGGGTGTGGTTGAGCACATTTAAACCTGCTGTCTGCAAGTGTGCTCTGCACTTGTGTCCTGTATGTTGCCCTGTTGCAAGCTCTTGTGTTGTTCCCATTGCTCTCCTGGTAACCGACTCGGCTTGGACAAGACTACTCTCTGCGTTAACCCTTTATCTGACCTCCCGTTGCTGAACCCGGCCCGTGACCTGAGTATTCTTTGCCTACCGTCTAGTACTGTCTGCTCCGTTGTTATTGACCCGGCTTGTCTGACTACTCTACTCGTGTTCCCATCTAGCTCCCACCAGCTGTACGCCATTGGCGGCAGTCGTTATCACAGCTGGGGTCACTCGGGGGCCGCGACCTGGTCTCAGGCTGCGTCAAGTCCATCCCCACCATCAGGGGCCCTGGTGAAGGGTAGCCTGGGGCTTAGACTCCGCGCCCTGAGGGACTCTGGTCTGTGGGTAGTGGTTGTCATCAGTCGCAGCGTGACCATACCATAGGCCTGCCTGCCCATTCCAGCGTTCCTGACCTGACACACTGACAGGGTGTGCTCAGTAGTGGCGACCTGGTCTCGGGGTACTACAAGTCCATCCCCACCATCAGGGGCCCTGGTGAACAAGTACCCTGGGGCTTAGACTCCGCTCTCTGGGCACGCCTGACCAGTGGAATGCTAGGGGTGCCGCTCGGCGGTCCCTCACAGACTAGCAGAGACAAATATATCACCTCATCAAGATGCATCCTTCCCAACAACAATAAGCCAAGATGGCTTCCCTGTGCAGCCACTTCTGGTCAGGAAGGGCCTTGGTGTTCTGTTAGGGATCCGGGTATGACCAGAAATGTGTGGACTGACACAGGGAAACGCAGACTTCAGGTATAGTGTGAATAAGACAATTTATTAAGACTAAACAAAACATAGACCCAGTGCAAGACTAAACAACAACACAGTGCAAACAAACCAACCCAAACCTCCAACAGATAACAATAGAAAGAATACTAAGCGTAGTCAGGCAGGCCGGGTCGGTAGCAAACGGGCAGTCAGGGCACAAGGAGCAGGTGGAAGAGTAGTCAGGAATAGCCGAGGTCAGGACAGGCGGAGTTCATGCAGAGTCAGGGATCGAAGCAGAATCTGGATCAGGCAGAAGGCAGAAAGCAGACAGGATGCAGGTACAGGGGCCCATGGGAAACATACACCAAGGCCCTGATCACAGGCCTGGCCATTCCTTAAATACACCTGTTGTAATCAGCTTCAGGTGATGGCTCATTGCAGGAGTGAGCCTCTGGTTTGCTGAGAGCACCCGCTGGCCAGCCCTGGCACTGCAGCCCACAAGGCAGGTGAATCCCACCACCACTGGCAAGTCCATTCCTGACAATAGGGAAGAGGCTTCAGCCCACTAAGCAAAATTCTTGCAGCAAGTAGGATTCTCCTGGTCTGAAATGTTCCCTCCTTATATTGCTCTCAGCTTCCTCTGAAATCTCCGAATTCCTCTTTTTGCTGCTGTGATCCAACTTATTGTTATAGGGTGACTGGGTTCATTCTCCATGGCCCCACTGTCTGTAGGGAAGTAGCCACAGTTTTATGAGAAATAGATCACAGTGGTTGGTATGTAAAGATTGTTTTTGGAGAATAAGGATATTATTTAGTGTTACTTTAACCACTTTTCTACTAGAGCAGATTTTTTATTTTTCACATACATGTTAAAATCTGAAATATATGGCTGACCATTATCTGTTTTCTGAAAGCAGAGGTCCTGTAGAATAAAATGGTAGGAGTTGCAATTTTTATGTCGAACAATATTTGCACATCTGCCAAAGGTGTATTTATACAAAAATACACAAACATGAATTTAATGCGCACAAACACAATATAATATCTATGTTTTTGTAAAGTTTAAAAGATAGGGTTGTGTTGCGTAAATGAATACCAACATGTCAAGACTCAAAATTGTATGCGCCAGTGAAATGCAAAAAAAATATGGTACCCATGGCGGACCCTTTTCGGTACTGTAAAAGTGATCATGTTTGCGAGACAGCCGATCACTGACTAGAAAAAAAACAATACCAAGATCATGGCCACAGCAGTAGTAATTCTTAACAAATAGAACAAAAATTGAGTTTAATCAAAGCCTCACTGATGTCTGTAGTTGCAGGCACTGTAGAGCAGTTAATTCTTAATGTTCATAGGAAATGAACTAAAGTCAGTTTTATTCAGGTTTGTTTTTTAACCCCTTTTTACTTCCTCCAAGTAGAGATTTAGCAACCTTTTAATATAGACACACAGCAAACACAGAAATCAACTGCAACCAACTTGAGTGCCTCTGCTGTGAACTTTGAGGAAAAGCTGGGGGTTTACTTTGCATTGCACAGTCCATGTACGAAAAAAAAAAAAAAAAAAAAAAACTGCTAGCAGTAGCTTGGCTAGACCCATAAAAGACTCAGAAATGGTTAAAATGTGTAGCTGTGGTGTCTGAATGGTGATACGCTAGTGTCCAGCAGTTCCTGTTTTACATCAACAACTGAAATTTTTATCATGTGTCAGGACATCATGCAGATAAGTACTGCCATGCAAACACATACACTATATTGCCAAAAGTATTGGGACGCCTGCCTTTACGCACACATGATCTTTAATGGCATCCCAGTCTTAGTCTGTAGGGTTCAATATTGAGTTGGCCCACCCTTTGCAGCTATAACAGCTTCTTCAACTCTTCTGGGAAGGCTGTCCACAAGGTTTAGGAGTGTGTCAATGGGAATGTTTGACCATTGTTCCAGAAGTGCATTTGTAAGGTCAGGCACTGATGTCACGAGACGAGAAGGTCTGGCTTGCAATCTCCGCTCTAATTCATCCCAAAGGTGTTCTTCCGGGTTGAGGTCAGGAGTTTGTGCAAGCCATTCAAGTTCCTCCACCCCAAACTCGCTCATCCATGTTTTTATGGACTTTGCTTTGTGCACTGGTGCGCAGTCATGTTGGAACAGAAAGGGGACATCCCCAAACTGTTCACACAAAGTTGGGAGCATGAAATTGTCCAAAATGTCTTGGTATGCTGATGCCTTAATTGTTCCCTTCACTGGAACTAAGGGGCCAAGCCCAACCCTTGAAAAACAACCCCACACCATAACCCCCCTCCACCAAACTTTGCACTTAGCACATTGCAGTCAGGCAAGCACTGTCCTCCTGGTAATCACTAAACCCAGACACGTCCATCGGATTGCCAGACAAAGAAGTGTGATTTGTCACTTCAGAGAACACGTCTCCCTTGCTCTAGAGTCCAGTGCTTTACACCACTGTATCTGATGCTTTGCATTGCACTTGGTGATGTAAAGCTTGGCCATGGAAACCCTTTCCATGAAGCTCTGTACACACTGTTGTTGTGCTAATATGAAGGCCAAACGAAGTTTGGAGGTCTTTAGCTATTGACTGCAGATAGTTGGCAACTACTGTGCACTGTAAGCTTCAGCATGCGCTGACCTCGCTCTGTCATTTTACGTGGCCTACCACTTCATGGCTGAGTTGCTTTTCCCAGTTGCTTCCACTTTGTTATAATAACACTAACCGTTGACCGTGGATGAGTTAGTAGCAATGAAATTTCACGGATGGACTTGTTGCACAGGTGGCAACCTATCACAGAACCAGGCTTAATTTCACTGAGCTCCTGATGCAGGCCATAGATGGGGAGAAAACCAGACGATTTTTCTTTAAAAAAACGACAAATCGGTCGTTCAATCGGCCGACGTTACCAGGAACTGTAAAAAAAATCGGCCGATTTTCATCCCGTCTACAGCCGGCACAAAGTGTCTCTGCAGAGAGCTCCACTATTTCTTTGACAGTTCTTTGACATTTATATCAGCTGCAACATTGTATCTATTTGTATCCATTTCGGATACAGATGTTTTTATTCGGAAACAGATACATTGTTGCAGCCGCTATAAATGTCAAGGAACTGTCAAAGAAATAGCGGAGCTCTCTGCAGGGACACTTTTTGCCGGACTGGAATTCTTCCTCTTCTTCATCCTCTTCTTCTTCTTCATCCTCTTCTTCTTATTCCTCTTCTTCTTCATCCTCTTCTTCATCCTCTTCTTCTTCATCTTCTCTTCTTCATCCTCTTCTTCTTCTTCATCCTCTTCTTCTTCTTCTTCTTCATCCTCTTCTTCTTCATCCTCTTCTTCTTCATCCTCTTCTTCTTCATCCTCTTTCTTCTTCTTCATCCTCTTCTTCTTCTTCTTCATCCTCTCTTCTTCTTCTTCATCCTCTTCTGCTTCTTCATCCTCTTCTTCATCCTCTTCTTCTTCATCCTCTTCTTCTTCGTCTTCATTCTCTTCTTCTTCTGCTGCTTCTTCATCCTCTTCTTCATCCTCTTCTTCATCCTCTTCTTCTTCTCCTCTTCTTCTTCTTCTTCCTCTTCTTCTTCCTCTTCTTCATCATCCTTTTCTTCTTCTTCATCCTCTTCTTCTTCATCCTCTTCTTCATCTTCTTCTTCTTCATCCTCTTCTTCTTCATCCTCTTCTTCTTCATCCTCTTCTTCTTCTTCATCCTCTTCTTCTTCCTTTTCTTCTTCATCCTCTTCTTCTTCATCCTCTTCTTCTTCATCCTCTTCTTCTTCATCATCCTCTTCTTCATCCTCTTCTTCCTCATCCTCTTCTTCTTCATCCTCTTCTTCTTCTTCCTCATCCTCTTCTTCATCCTCTTCTTTTTTCCTCTTCTTCCTCTTCTTCTTCTTCCTCTTCTTCTTCATCCTCTTCTTCTTCATCCTCTTCTTTCTTCTTTTTGTCTTCCTCTTGCAGGTCACTGCTCATGCGCAGCTTTTTTTATCAGTAAAAAGATCGGCCGATTTGCCCATAATTGCCGCGAAAATCGGCCGATCGGCAAAATACCGAAAAAAACGGCCGACCTATTAACCCACTAACGATCCGAAAATCGGCCGATTTTCGACCCATCTATGGCCTGCATGAGAGTGACTAATTCTTTCACAAATGTTTGTAGAAGCAGTTTGCATGCCTAGGTGCTTGATTTTTTACACCTGTGGCCATGGAGGGGATTGGAACACCTGAATCCAATGATTTAAAGGGGTGTACCAATACTTTTGGCTATATAGTGTAATGCAGGCCATAGACGGGTCGAAAATCGGCCGATTTTTCGGCCGAAAATAAAATCGGCCGATTTTCGGATCGTTAGTGGGCGATTTGGTCGGCCGTTTTTTCGGTATTTTGGCCGTTTTTGTTTTTCGGTAAAGTTGGAAAAAAATCGGCCGATTTTGCCGATCGGCCGATGTTCGCGGCAATTAGTGGGCAAATCGGCCGATTTTTTACCGATAAAAAATCTGCGCATGAGCAGTGATCTGCAAGAGGAAGACAAAAAGAAGAAAAAGAAGAAGAGGAAGACGATGAAGAAGAGGATGAAGAAGAAGAAGAGGAAGAAGAAGAGGATGAAGAAGAAGAGGATGAGGATGAAGAAGAAGAGGATGAGGATGATGATGAAGAAGAGGATGAGGATGATGATGAAGAAGAGGATGAGGATGAAGAAGAAGAGGATGAGGATGAGGAATAAAAGAGGATGAGGAAGAATAAGAGGATGAGGAAGAAGAAGAGGATGAGGATGAAGAAGAAGAAGATGAAGAGGATGATGATGATGAAGAAGAGGATGAGGATGAAGAAGAGGATGAGGATGAAGAAGAAGAAGAAGAAGAAGAAGAGGATGAGGATGAAGAAGAGGATGATGATGAAGAAGAAGAGGATGATGATGATGAAGAAGAATAGGATGAGGATGCAGAAGAAGAAGAAGAGGATGAGGATGATGAAGAAGAAGAAGAAGAAGAGGATGAGAAGAAGAAGAAGAAGAAGAAGAGGATGATGATGAAGAAGAAGAGGATGAGGATGATGAAGAAGAAGAAGAAGAAGAAGAGGATGAAGAAGAAGAAGGATGAGGATGATGAAGAAGAAGAAGAGGATGCGGATGAAGAAGAAGAAGAAGAAGAGGATGAGGATGAAGAAGAAGAAGAAGAAGAGGATGAGGATGATGAAGAGAAGAAGAAGAAGAAGAAGAGGTAGGATGAAAATAAGAAGAATTCCAGTCCAGCAAAAAGTGTCTCTGCAGAGAGCTCCGCTATTTCTGACAGTTCTCTGACAGTTCCTTGACATTTACAGCGGTTGAAACATTGTATCTATTTGTTTCCGAATAAAAACATCTGTATCCTAAATGGAAACAAATAGATACATTGTTGCAACTTCTATAAATGTCAAGGAACTGTCAGAGAACTGTCAAAGAAATAGCAGAGCTCTCTGCAGGGACACTTTTTGCCGGCTCTAGACGGGTAGAAAATCGGCCGATTTTTTTTACCATTGATGGTAACGTCGGCCACTTGAACAACCGATTTTTCGTTTTTTAAAAGAAAAATCTGCAGTTTTTCTCCCCATCTATGGCCTGCATAAGTGTATACCCTCAAACGCATTGGTTCACAAGAGTTACGGTTTTACTTGTGTCTCCTGCCGAAAAGCTCTACCTCCTAGCTTCACCTAGGTTGAAGAAGAAAAATCCTTACCTATAAGTAGCTTGAGGAAGATTTTTTCACAAACAAAAATGGAATTTACATTTGCATTTCCTTGAAAAATCTTAAGAAACCTGCGCTCTCCAGTAAAGGTATTGGCCCTGATTTTCCAGTTTGTGTGATTAAATGCAGATTTGATCAGACATTTTATTAGTTGTATTTTAATAATGACAAAAAAAGATTTGGATAGTTTAGATGAATACATTTGTTTTTCCCCCATGTGTCCATCTTACTAAATCTCAGGGCTCACGTGGGCTCTCAGCCACATCTGGCAGTTTCCAGAGCCATTTGTTTACTTTTTTCCACCACTTAGCTGAAAGCAGACAACCCATAGAAAGTGAGTGGGTAAACATCAGCTGCACAGACTCGCCCACAAAGCTGCATTTAACAGGTATGCAAGAATTGAAGCATAGATCAAGACACAGAGCCTGTGTATCCAGGTTTGTGTAGCCATCCCGTCCCTGCATACCTGTCATCCACACAGGTGATGCATTCCAATGAACTTTCTATGGACTGTCTGCATGCAGCTCAGAGGTTGAAAAAAATGTAACTAAATGGCTCTGGCCGCTGCATGGGGCTGAGCGCCCATGTGAATGCGCCCTTACTCTGATAATATCACAATGTCTATTGAAATGTTAAAGAAATTTATGTAGCTTAAAGTGGAACTCAAGTCAAAAAATTAGGTCCTGCTAGATCACTTCAGGATGGTCCCTTTTGCAGGTATAGCTATGTAACATATTAAAATAAAGTACCTATACTGTTTTAAATCCAATAATATACTGTCTTACCATGCTCTGCACATGCTACGTTGTTCTCTATTTTAAGGCACAGTGCCAAATATATAGAGGCCGATCTGCTGACATCCTAAAGATTTAATGCTGTTCAGGGGTTCCGTGCTTCAGCAAAACGGTAGCCTCCAGCAAGAATAGACAGAAACGATGTTGGAGACGATTTACAGCACACACTAATTTCTGTAGCATAATTATTAGTGTGGAATGTATGTTCACTGCTGAAGAACATTATTTTTAATCAAGTTGTTATGGGTAAAGTTCTGCTTTAAGTTACAGAAACATACAAGAAGAAATTGCTTTGTCCTATTAGTATTCATTGAGCAAAAGATATAGTAGTCACAAAGTGAGAGAAAGGTAGGAGCACCTGGACAAAGCCCTTACTGCCTCATTGCTCATCTTATATTTCAAGAGTTGAAACTGTAAAACAAATTCTAAAATAAGATGTACAGCCGTGCAGTGCCGAGATTCTTTTTTACCCAGTATGAATATCCTCTGGGTTGCTATTATGTTGCCAGTATTTTAATTTGGTGCCAAACTGTATACATTAATGTCACATTGGTGGCAAGAAATAAGGTTTAGTGGCTTCTGTGTGTAGCAACCTTCCATATGATGGCTTGTTTGTAGGAGACTATTAAGTCTAATGAACAAGTGTACAGTAGAACTAATCTACCATTGCAAGTTAGACGCTGGGATGCCTCTAATTTGATTACAGCAGTTCCCCATTCCACATAATTTCTTTGTGCACACTGCAGCAGGGTAGCCTGCAGTGGCTACCAATTTATTTGCTCAGGAATTGTCACTGCTTAGTGACCAATATACTGTACATAAAGACTTAGACCCAGTATTGAAACTAACGCCATAGCAATCCAGGCAGTAGCTATGGAACTGTCTCATTTGCAGAGGGTTGAATAGCAGCTTACAGTGGCCTAGTCACAAACGGCCATTTGTCGCTCTTACCCTGTAGTCAGTCCACTGGTAAGGCTTGCGGGTGCTGGATCACTTGTATACTGTTCGTATAGCAGCCTAGGGTGTCTTAGCCACATTCGCCCTTTACCTTCCTGCTCTGCAGTTTGTGAGTATCCCTTGTGGGTATTGTTTCACTTGTATTTATGTATTTTTTGTACAATGACCTGTGGTGTCCTGGACATGAGCAGTCATTGGCCCCTCCTGCTCTGCAGTCAGTCAATGAGTTCCCATGCTGGTATTGTCCTATACTGGATGTATGGCTGATTATGGTGACCTGGTCATGCATGGCCATTAACACCTACTCCAGGGGGTTCATGAGTATCATGAGTAGGTCTGTGTGTTAGTTTTGTTAGTAATGTCTCACTGTGTAGTGTTTGCAGAAACAGTAGGATGAAAGACCATGCATGGCCAGGTCCCATTGTGCAGTGGTCTGAGATTCCGTTTGTACAGAGACTTTCAGTGCTCTGGTAATGCACGATTGTTGTCTCCTGATGCTCTGCAATGGATCTCTGAGTGTCCCTGGTGGCTCTGTCTTGTGAGTATACCATTTGCACAGTGGCCTACGGAGAACTCACCACAACTGGCCTTTAACTTGTCTGCTTCACAGTTTATCCGTATGTAGCCCTTGCTGGTAATATTTCACTTGCACACTGTTGGTGGCCCATGGTGACCAAGAGGGCCACGAGGGCTCCTTGTGGGTACAGTTGTGTTTACATATGATATACTGTACATATGATGACTTATTGTGTTTCAGCCATGTATGACCTTTATCTTCCCCTGATTTGTAGTTGATCCACACACTACCATTGTACGTCCTGTTTTGTACTGTTTTTTATGTAGCAGCTTAAGGTGACCTAGTCACAAACAGCTGTTTACACCCTCTGCTTTTCAGGTGGTCTGTTGAAGTAATTGTCACAGGGCCAAATTATTTTATTGAGAGGCACACGTAACAAATTCCATGAAAATAAGTTGTTGGTACTTACCATTATAATAAATGCATCTTACAATATTTTAACCTGGATAAAGAGACCTTAAAGCATTTCTGGATATACTGTGAGCTACAGAATTACATAAGGAAGCCTAAACGTTTTCATCCAAAGTACAGCTAGGACCTTGCTCACTTTAACCTCCCTAGCGGTATTCCAGAGTGTAGCTCGGGGTAAAATGTCTGTACCAAAAGCGGTAACCCCGAGCTACACTTGGGCTTACCATGCGGTACTGCATAGGGAGTCCCTGCAGAGCTTAACTTGTCCTTCGCTCTCGCAATGTGTCCCCTGCAGCGTCCCCGGCCATCTCCTCCGGCTGATGCCGGCATCCGGCTTCTGTGTTCCGGCCCCTGTGACGTCGGGACGTACGGGCGGCGGCAGCGGGAAAATTTGAACATTTTTTAAAAAATGTCATTTTTTTCAAAACGAATTTTACATAGTAAAACATTGCTGTTTCAAACCATTTCACATACATTTTGTCCCTAGTGCTTTGTCCTGTCCCCTGTCTGCATTTTGACTGTTCTTTCTGCCTGGAAACTTAGAAAAGTCCATGGCGTCCAAAAAGCGTCCCTTTAGGTCAAAAGCGGGTTTAGATCAGCTAGAGAACAGCGATAGTAAATCAGAACCACTTGCAGAATTGAGTGATAATGATGCGTGGGGGAAATTCATCATCAGACACTGAAAACAATTTTGCGACTTTGCTCAGCGA